ACAAACAACTAATCTCTCCAAATATGAGCAAAAAATTAGAAAAACCCTAAATAAACCGAACACTAATTATATATAGAACCAGAATAAGTAGACTAAATAATTCATCCTACATACAATCCCTTTTCCAATCATACCATTGACCTCAAACATACTTTGAGAAAAATAAATCATTCTCATAGACTCCAGTTCCACTTCCACTTCGACTTCCACTCACTAACTTGACCCACAAACAACAAGTTTAAAAAACAATTATACAAACCAAAATAACAATTGACTCACAGAGAGGAGAGTACAGAGTATATGTTGAATGATTTAACTAAAACAATCTTTTTAGCCTTTTCCAACGCAACAATTTAGCTAAAAAAATGATTTATGTGGTCTGCTTAATAAAATAACTTTGGTACTCTATCAAACCAAAATTATAAGGCCATAAATTTAGTTAACCAAAAGAATATATTACCGTTTGATACATAAAATGTAAAGAACCGGTTTCTACGTTTTATATTGGCTTTAAAGACCAATGCCATAGAAATGGGAATTCAATAATTCAAAAAACATAAACTAAGCTTTAATAAGTTGTAAATTTTAACAATTGTTTATATGAAAAACTAATAATAAGATAAAATTATATAAAGCATAAACAAAGTATAATTAAATTAATATAACAAATAGTAAGTCTTAATCATCTCAAATTTATTGAGCAACTCACTGAATAAATCTATTAAAGTCTAAATTATAATTGTATTTGCTCTATCATGCTTTTATATATAATTGTTAAATAAACAGTAGAGAAACTTTCACTTGATCAAAAACAGAATATAAGAGACTTATGCTCCTTCTTTGGCCGCCGAAGAAAAAAGAGAGACTAAAACTCAATTTTTTTCTCCATCTAGAGATATATTTATGATCCGTAGTTTAACAGGGTCTCTCTACTGTGTTATCTTTTGATCGATTTTGTTTGAATTAATTTATAATGTTCAAAGTTTAAATCTAGAGTAGTATTATGAATATTATAAAACTAAAAAANTTATGCTCCTTCTTTGGCCGCCGAAGAAAAAAGAGAGACTAAAACTCAATTTTTTTCTCCATCTAGAGATATATTTATGATCCGTAGTTTAACAGGGTCTCTCTACTGTGTTATCTTTTGATCGATTTTGTTTGAATTAATTTATAATGTTCAAAGTTTAAATCTAGAGTAGTATTATGAATATTATAAAACTAAAAAATTTCCCAACTCTAAGTAAATGACAATATGAGTATGCTCATATGTCATTTTTAGTTGTATAATTAAAATTTGATGTAGATAAGACTGATTGCTTAACATAATCACACTCGCAACTAAATAAACATATAATAAAATTTACATCATCAATAAAAACTAATACATTACATTCCGCGCGTAGCGTGGACCAGTCCTAGTCTAATTATATAAAGAACACTTTCAATCCTTCTTGCTCCACCACGTCAGATATTAGCTTCACTCTGTGCTGTCACGTGTCCGATACGTAGAACGATGCGTTCTTATTCATTTAATGTCATACGGACTTTATAACTTTCTGACCCAAAATCTGTTTAGTCCAAGGGCTGTTTATGGCGTTAATCTGTACTTCATTTCTCTTCTCCCTGTAAAATTAGGGTTCTTTATTTTGTGCACACACATTGTAGTCGCCATTAATTTTGATGTGAATCATTTCTATTTGGCGATTCACCTTTCCTTGTTGAGATGAAACTCCACCACTCATTAATGATAGCATTTACAACTCCCCCAAGATCCGTAATCATTCTCTTCTTATCATCTTAGAGACGGTGGAGAAAGTATATATATATATATATATTTATAGGTTCCTCTCTATCATCTGAGAATCTTTCACAGTATTTTCTCACACTACTTTATTTGTTTCCAACGGTTTTGTCTAGGGTTTTTTTTCCGACTTGAAGTCCGGCCGTTACTCCTCCACCTCGAGGTGCGGTTCTGGGAGGCCAGAAATCCAAGGTGTGATGATGAGCTTATGTGGATAGACATTCTTATAGTCGACGTGAATGTAAGAGATCCTATTATTATAATCTCAGAAACTGTCGAGATATATTATTCCGGCAACCGTTCTCTCATTCTTCATAAACCATGAACACTGAATTTTAGGGTTAATGCTCTTATTGATCTCCAAGAACGACAATGTTCATGTACCTTCTCTGGCACCAACAATGGAGTGACTGAGTGACCAAAATCAACGTCAAGCATCTCTTTGTGGGTTTTCAGTCGCAAGGGTTTGTCTTCAATCTCTTTTAACTTTCGCCCCATCTCCCTATATATATAACCGGGCTACTTATGAAGCTGTAATACCATTGAACATATCTTTGTGTAGCTGCAGTACTGTCTATCTATAGCTCATTTTGATCTTTGAATATGCACCTAATTTTACCAACGCATTTGTTTATGTCGGCTCTTTGAATCATTTTTGTTTTTGTTTTTGTGAAGCATAAATAATCAATCTTCAGGAAGGTCATCAGTGGAGTCCAACATGGTGGAGATCCCTCATCCTGCGTTTGCTTCGGGTTCGACAATTCTAGAAATCCAAAAAAGTTGAATCTTTGTATCCTTTTGTGTAGTTTCTGTACCCATTTTGTTGAGCAGTTTCTTCTAAATCTTATCAACTCCATTGATTGTGCTCCAGAAACAAAGCTCCTCAAACTTGGGAGTGTAATGGGTGTTTGATATTGGACGGAGAAAGGAGCTGTGGAACGCTTTGGGAAGTGGAGATTAGGACAATTCCAGAAATCCAAAAAAGTTGAATCTTTGTATCCTTTTGTGTAGTTTCTGTACCCATTTTGTTGAGCAGTTTCTTCTAAATCTTATCAACTCCATTGATTGTGCTCCAGAAACAAAGCTCCTCAAACTTGGGAGTGTAATGGGTGTTTGATATTGGACGGAGAAAGGAGCTGTGGAACGCTGTGGGAAGTGAAGATTAGAAGGATAGGAGGACACCGTGGACGGTGTTGCAGAGCTTGGAGAAAAAGAGGAGATTTGTCGTGGAATATCACCATCCTAAACAAAGATACGAAAATTTTGTCGCTATTGTCTCATTTAATTACATGGATTTCCATTATGTCTGGTTTCGTTCCCTCTATGTGATCTAGCATATATGTGTCAAAGCTGTAATGATCTCTCAAAATTCTGTATTAATTTACTTCACATAAGGAAAAGAATGTTGTTATTAGATGACAACATCGTAGTATAAATTTGGTTTCACATGTTGACTTCACCATTCCTGGTGTACAAGTTAATTAGAATTTTTGCTAACAAAAAAAGTTAACTTTTTTTTTATTTGGTAACGAAGATCTGTTTTTCAATCCTCCGTTCATTTTTGTATTCACAGAAACAGCTCTGTAGAAACAATGCAGCCATTTTCCGCAATGTGGGATTGGCAAGTTTGGACATACGACTCCATGAGCTCTTCTTCTTCATCACTAAGCTACAGCCGACGGTTTCTTCACTCACTGACATGCCCCTCATGCCTTACCCTCTCGAGTCCTCATTTCTCAGCACATTAGCACCATCATCATCCTCAGATGAAAACCCACAGAGCTTCACTCTTCGAGTTCCATTAAACTCAAAACCACAACACAAGTGGTGGCTCTGAATTGTTGCTCCTGCAGTCTCTACATCTTCGTCTTGACCACCAGCCTGAGCCATTGATTTCTTACTGAGACCAAAAAGAAGACTTAGCTATCATTGAGTTTAAGACTTCCAAGTTAGAGATACAAAACTCAAAGGAGGAATCTCACTCTACTTCTTCTATTGTTAGCTATATATCGGTCTTTTCTTTTATCAAACTTGCATGAACTAAGGAAGTTGAAAGATGTCTACAAACTATAAAGATGTTTGGGACCAAGTAAGATAGATTGGACGATTATAAGTTTGTGTGATTATTCTCATACATGATTCATACTCGACTCTCGAGTTGTATATTTTGCTTCTTACAGTTAACAATCTTTATCTCTTTAACTTTACATTCTTATATATTATGAATTAAAAAAATTATAACAAATAGATACATATGCAAATTGCTTAAAAATATATGTATAAATACATTCTTAGGCAGAAGTGTGCTGCACCAAAGTTATGAAAAATTCCAATATTGCGTAGTCAATAAAATATTACTAACTGAGATGAACATAACAAAACCAAAAAGAAATTGATCCAAAAACATATTAGGCTACTTAAAAATGATACACACATTCGTCAAGTCCATACAAGGCCACATTAAGGGTCCTATAAAATTCAGCTAACATACGTTCGAGATTACATATCTATCGACATGAAGTCCAGCATCTGTTTCAAATCTATTACTATATTCTTAGCATGCAATATAAAATTCTACTTTTAAGAAAAAAAAATGCAATCCAATAATCACCACTCCCACTTCAATAAGACTATGGTTTCAACAAAAAAAATAATTACTCTTATAATAATCACAAAGAATACACGTAATCTAGTCCTTCTGAACCTAAAAATATTAAAAACCACAGAGCATTTGAAGTCCTCACAGCATATCAATCTTAGGTCTTTTTTTATATAGAAACAACTATTGTTTTTTAGACAACAGAAACAACTATTACAAACAAACAAAACATATCTTATCACATATAATCACTCCTTAATTAAAAAATTTTAAAAGACAAAAAATCATTTTTGTTTGATCCACACAAAAAATCATTATCATAAATATTTTTCAATACAAAATTAAAACACAAACCACAAAACATACAAAAAATAAAAACTTAAATCACAAGTAAAATATATTCCGAGCGTAGGGCGGGTCTATCCTAATATTATAATAATATATAATTTATTAATTATAATAATTCATATATTATATTATAGACTCTTATGAAAACTAATAATATGAATTCTAATATTTTTAAATACTGGTATTTAATAGAAAAATATTATATATATTTAGTAGATTTTTTGAATTTTTTTTGACAATAAAAAATCATTTTTATTACTTAAAACTAAATATGGTATAGGTAACAAGACTGGAATAAAATAACCAATAAACCAAAGAATATAGGATATCTTGAAGTCACGAAATCTTCTCTTCAGTTCTTCAATCCCCTTAAACTCTGTTGAGAAAGTCAGTCATGCCCGAGGTTCCTTTGTCATCGCTATTAAGTCTTTACAGCCATTTCAAAAATATTGGCATGTCGAATGATGTAACACATGTTCCATTGTCCAGCCTAGCACTTCTAACTCTGATTGCAATACAAATTCTCTTCGATTTTGATTTTTTGTACCCATAAATTCGGTTTGTCCAGAACTATCTTTCCAAATCCATTTAAATCCACTAAGATTGATGTAGGTTCAACCATCCACCAAGCAAAATTTTCTAAGTCTGAGACTTGAGTCGATTTTGTTGGTGTTTGGGTTAAATTATCAAGTGGTGCATTTGTCGTAAACTATGTTTGGCATTCTCGTTATGAATATCTAATCAGCTTAAGTGGGTCTATGTCTATACATGTGAATAATTTATCATTCTTTGCTTTCTAGAGATGCTAAATTATCCATAGATAAGAATCTTTGTTAATTTCTGGATCTTTAATACTATTCTTCCTCCGAAATTTTTTTTTATATTAGTGTATATGTTAGACACAAAGAATATATTTGGAAGAGAAGTTGTAGCAGCTAGAATCCATGCTTGAAACGCAGGAAAGACATTAAAAATAGCATGAATTATAGACTCATCAGATTCCCGATATCTTGGATTAGTATAACGACAATGCATATGGCGACGATTCAAATTTCTTGTGAAAACGACATGTCATCTGATTAACTTCCATATAAGATAGCTAATTTTTTGGAGTATTTATCTTTCAAATAAAGGGTTGAATCCTCGTGATACTTGGTTCCTTATAAACTACGTCTTCTTCAACCTTGAGTATTTGTTTGGCTGCATAGTATCCTAACTTTACAGTATACATACCACTCTTTAGTATATATTCTCCAACAAAAAGTGTCATAATATAAAGATCGGCTTATGGCCAAAATTTTAGTTAATGGTATATCTTCTTGAGCCACAAAATTATCTAGCATTTCAACATCTCATTATATCGAATCTTTTCTTATAAAGTCACCAACTATCATTATGGGATGGACTACTGGTAAATTTGGCTTGGCCGGGCTCACAAGTAAAGTCGGAATTCAGTAAATTCTGGGATGCGTTTATTATTTGAATATATAAACGCCCAAACATCCTAATTAATAATTTACATGTCCGATTATTTATTTTAGTCGCTAGGCGTGAGCTATCACTCACTTTTCGTTTAGTACGTTCTTGAACACTACTTATCGCAAACTTTTCTTTACTTATATATATGTCAAGTTTATTCATGTCTTTTCTTTTTCTTTAATTATTTTACCCAACGAAAGACTGTTTTACGTCTTCCCATCCGAAGAGGAGGAATGTATGATCTAAATTAATTGAAAAACGAACAATCCAAAATCTTTATTTAGGATCATGAAAATTAGAATTAAAAAATCAGGACACAAAAAGGACAAAAAATAGTGACCAATGGATATGAATATCTGTCAAGATTAGTAAACCTATACTTAACTTTCCAAGAAAAATCTATTATAAGTTCCCCTTAACAATCACTTCCACCATCTTAAACCGATATAAAACCTAATAATATCTTCGTTCTTCATTTAAGGCAGAAGGAGACAAAAACAAACACCAAAAGAAAAACTAAAAAGAAGAAAAGACGAAAAGCATGCAATTGTTTTTCGTTTTTTGTTGAAACAAAAAAAACGAAATTCATAAAAAGAGAACCAAAAAAAAATTCAATTACTTTTTCTTCCTGTAATCATTTCTTATATAAAGAGTGCATTTTTATTACAAAAGTAAATTTTGGAACTATGCGTAATCATGGGGAAAAAGGAAGAGGGAATGTTCTGATTAAGGCCATATTGTTGGGTCTCATAAGCATTGTGTGTGTGAGTGGTACAAATATAAATTACAAAGAAGCCCTAACCAAATCTCTAATCTTCTTGGAGGCTCAAAGATCAGGCAAACTCCCTTCAAACAATAGGGTTCCTTGGAGAGGTGATTCTGCTCTTGATGATGGCAAACTCGCTAATGTAAGTTTTTGTACTATAATTATTAGATTCTTACCGAACAGAAACACGTTACAATAACTAATAATGTGTTTATATATTTATAGGTCGATTTGGCGGGAGGGTACTATGACGCAGGAGACAATGTGAAGTATGGTCTGCCAATGGCGTTCACAATCACGACGCTGGCTTGGTCGACGATTTCCTACGAGAAAGAACTTCGTGCCGCAGGAGAGCTCGAAAACGCCCGTGCCGCTATCCGTTGGGGCACTGATTATTTTCTCAAATGTGCTTCTCGCAAGAACCGCCTCTATGTTCAGGTCCGAACCAAACAAATATGTATTTAAACAACTTTTTAATACATTTTTAACGTAATATTTTATCTTTCTAAATACGAGTCTAAGAGATCAAAAACCTTGTCGGTTACTTATGTTTTAGAATGTAAAGACCACCATTTTCATAATCTTACATCATGCAAGAAAGATGAACGTGCTCATTTCCTAACTAGTGTTACTGTGAAACGATCAATAGGTTGGTGATCCACATGTGGATCACAAGTGTTGGGCGAGGCCTGAGAACATGCAAACACCAAGAACGGTATTGCAGATAAGTGATAAAGATCCTGGGACAGAGATCGCGGCCGAGACTGCCGCTGCATTCGCTGCTTCCTCTATCGTTTTCCGCCGCGTCGACCACAAATACTCCCGCCGGCTCTTAAACAAAGCCAAACTGGTGTGCTTATTAATATATACATATTCGTATACACATTTAAATAGTTGTTTTATTATTAAACGGATTAGATATTTGATCATTATTTCATTATGTAGCTCTTCAAGCTAGCCAAGAGCCACAAGGGTACATACGATGGAGAATGCCCTTTTTATTGTTCTTGCTCGGGTTACAACGTAATCTCTAACTTTAAACATTTTCTGTTCCAAATATCAAATGTCTTTCTTCTTCTTTTTTTAAATATGTTTTTGTTCACATTTTAATTGGCATCAATTTATAAATTAAAAAAAAATCAATTTTGACACAAATGTGAAGGACGAGTTGCTGTGGGCGGCAACATGGCTATACAAGGCAACGAGGAAAGAGGTGTACCTTAGCTACCTCAAATTTGAAGCCATAAGTGGTTACGTCGCTGAGTTTAGCTGGGATCTCAAATATGCTGGTGCGCAGATGCTCATTGTCAAGGTATAATACATATCCAAAGTTATAGCCTATGTGTTATCTAATCCAATTTATGTATAAATTTGTTTATATATGTAAATGTAGATGATCTTCGAAGGCAAAAAAGGACTTGACCTATACAAACAACAGGCTGATAGTTTCATATGCTCGAATCTCCCTGGTAGTCCTTACCACCAAGTCTTCAATACCCCAGGTTCTATGTCCATATAGTAACATACATATTTAGAAACATGTTTATATATGAATTTAAACCGTTATATTCTTGGTGTATAATAGGTGGTATGATTCACTTGAGGGATGGAGCCAACACTCAGTATGTCACCGCAACTGCCTTCTTGTTCTCGTCCTACGCCGATATTCTCCAGAAATATAACCAGAAGATCTTTTGCGGAAGCACGCAATTCGATTCAGCACATCTCATGGCTTTCGCCAAAAAACAAGTAAAATATTTGTTTCCATTTTATTTCCCCACAACAAAACAAGCATGATTTATATAAACCAAACGAAAGACCAACTTCAGTCAATGCCTAGTTTGAACCTTGCACCAGTAAAAGACAACAAGACCCTTATTTTTGGAACTGGAAGTTTCAATTTTTGTTCACTTGTGAAGTGATTCTTAATTTTTTAGAATATATAAATCTTAGATGCCAGGGAACGAATTGTTGTTCGCACGAAAAAAAAGAAAATTGCCTAAATTAGTTTATTGTCATATGCACGTTTCAGATTGACTACATACTAGGGCATAACCCAAAAGGAAGGTCGTATATGGTTGGGTTCGGACCAAACCCCCCAAAGCAAGCCCACCACAGAGGAGCCTCAGTGCCAATATCTGAAGCCAATGCGCCGTTAAGCTGTCCATTGAGCTTTGTGAAATGGTTCAACAAGAACCAGCCTAATGCTAACGAGCTGACCGGAGCCATCTTGGGAGGACCTGACCGTCAAGATAATTTCCAAGATTTTCGGTGGACCTCCGTTTACACGGAACCTTGCACCTACATCAACTCTATCGCCGTGGGTATTCTTGCGAAGCTTGCCGCCACGGCTTAGAGCCATATATACCACTTTTGATGAGGACACTTTGATGAAAAGTATTATTAAAGTGTTTCCTTTACCTAATATATTTGCAGACACATGTGGCCACACAATGTGACTCATTTTCATTATTTTCCCTTTGTAGGTTGCCGTTTGGAAATATCATTTTCCAAAATATAAAATTGCATGGGTGTAATAATAAGGCCTGGTGATTTGAAAACCAATAATTAAGTCAAACTAATGAATAGCCGGAATGGTAAAATTCATTCCATTTCATGTAGAGTTTTAACTCTATTTTTGTTTTATATGAAATGATGTTTTGTTGTTATTTTCTATGTAATTTACATGTAACTTACAATATATAAGTAAATAATTATACGTGTTTCGATAAACATGTTTATTACTAGATTATAATATCTTAATAAATAGTTGCTCGCTGTCATGTGTGTGGTGTAGAAAGTGAATATATCATATATTATTTACTTGTGAGTTAGTAGAGAAGTTTGGACTGTTCCAAAATTTATAACCCTGATTTTGAATTTGATTTGGGTTCCCGTGTGAAAATATTCACCATTACTCTATAACTAATAATGTTAGAATTTTGATATTTGTTTTCTTTTTTTTTTTAACTTAAATTCATTAAATAATTATCATCTCATTAATGGGGCATTGGAAACAGTACAACAAATCCGGTTAACCAGAGAAACCGTTCTTCCTAGGTTACAAGGACAAAGAAAAAGCTACACAAACATCAAAAAAACCAGAGGAGACTGGTGAGAGAAAGAAAATAGGTAGGCGAAACCTCGCTCCAGTTTGAACTTTGAAAACTGGTGACCTCCAAATCAGGTTGTCCGCGACTTCGCCAGCCGGGGTGTCCACGACCAGCCAAGCTCTGTCAATGGTGTACCCGGCCTCAGAGATAATTTTTGATAGTTTATTAATTTTTAGAATTATTAATTTATTTAAAGTCATTTTAAAATCTATATATTTTACAATATGTTTTATGTAAAAATTAAAAAGAATATTTTATGGTAATGTAATGATGAAATTTTATATATTTTTATTCAATGATTTGGATTATAAAACATATGTATTGTAAATGTAAATGCATTTTACGTATAAAATAACATCAATATATTTAAAATATTAAGAAATTAAAATAGGGGATTTGCCAAATATTACTTAAACTTGATTTTAAATGTAAAAGTGTACCCAAACTCAAATCAAATGCAAAAGTAACTCAAAAGACTAGTGAAATAACAAACATTCCGTCATGACCAAACAAAAAAGATGATTGTAATTTACCACTATAACCTTGCGAGTGAGAAAACTTTTAGGTAAGTTTTCTCATGTTGTAGATCTTGAAAATAATTTACATATTTAAGAAAAAATAATTTTGGTTTGTAAAAAATCATAATTATAAAATTATTGACATTTATAAATGATGTAAATATAGTTTTCAAGATAAATGAGTGAGAAGACTTACCTGAAAGTCTTCTCATGCTGTAGATCTTAAAAATAATTTATAAATTAAAGAAAAAATATATTTGTTTGTAAAAAATCCTAATCATGTAATTATTGACATTTATAAATGATATAAATATAGTTTTAATAAAACTGAATAGTTTTCAAAATAGATGAGTGAATATAAGTTTGTCATGATATTCTTTGGTTTAAGGTTTGGTAACTATGTTGCAGTATTATATTTGTTTTTAGGATTATACTGTGGAATCTTAACATTTTTTTTAAAAAATTAAAATTTAGCTATATGTGTTTAGTTTTTTGTAGATTAAACAATTTATAAGTTTAATTTAGTTTGATAAAGTTCTTGTATGTGATTTAGTTATATATATTTGACCTCTTTGATTTTGGAATTTTGGAAGACGTATGAAGACTTAATAACAGTTTCCCGCACAAAATTTAGGTTTCCGGTATAAAATTCTAAAAAAATTTAGGTTTCCCGCTTAAAATTAAGTCTTCCAATGCCTTCTAAAGTCTTCCAAGGAAAGTCTTCTAAAGTTTTCCAGCGAAAGTCTTCTAGTGTATTAGTCTTTAAAATAATTTATAAATTTTATAAAAAATATTTTGATAGGGGAAGAATCATAATCATCTAATTATAGTCATTTGTAAGTGATATAAATTTAGACTTAATAAAATTGAATTTTTTTTCAACATAGATGAGTGAATGTAACAAAGAATGATATTCTTTGTTTAGGGTTAGATTGCGGAATCTTAACATTATTTTTTAAAAATTTTTTTTTGCTATATGTGTTTAGTTTTGTGTAGATTAAATATTTTATAAGTTTAATTAAAGTTTAATAAAGTCTTTGTATGTGATTTAGTTATATATGTATATATATATATATATTTGATTTTGGGGTCTCAAAAGACTTATGAAGACTTAATAACAGTTTTCCGCTCAAAATTTAAGTTTTTCGCTTAAAATTTGGAAAAAAATATTTTCCCGCTTAAAATTAAGTCTTCCAATATATTCTAAAGTCTTCCAGGGAAAGTCTTCTAATTTATTTTAGGGAAAGTCTTCTACTGTCTTCGATGGAAAGTCTTCTAAAGTTTTCCAGGAAAAGTCTTAAAGTGTATTAGTTCTTAAAATAATTTATAAATTTCATAAACAAATATTTTGATAGGGAAAAAATCATAATCATCTAATTACAGACATTTGTAAGTGATATAAAATTTAGACTTAATAAAATTGATTTTTTTCAACATATATGAGTGAATGTAAGTTAGTCATGATAATCTGGAAGACTTAAGAAGATTTTGGAAGACCTTCGAAAACCTCAGAAGACATACTTAAAGTCTTCCAGAGTCAAAACTTTGGAAGACATTCGAAGACCTCGGAAGACCTACTTAAGGTCTTTCAGTAGGTCTTACAAAGTCTTCTTAAGTCTTCCATAATTTACTATTTCCCGCTCAAATAGTAAATCTTCTGGGCGAATAGTAATTCTTCAAAGTAAGTCTTCTGCGTGAATAGTATTCTAAGGTCTTCTAAAGTCTCCTGTATCAAAAAATTTTGCCTAATTGAAATTTTTGTCTTCCTATATAAATAAAAATTTACACATTTTCTTTCTTCCTCTCAAATGGAGGCAACAAAAAGTAATATTTCTCACTCTAAAATTCTCTAACCTCTCTCTAAACTATTTGAATTTGATAACACCAAACATTATATCAATTTCTCATTTGTATGTGTTTCTCACTATTTTATCTTATTTTTGCAGGTTTTTTATTACATAGATGTCATCTTTCACTCATTTAAAATTATTGATATGTATTTTTGTGTCTTTTGTATATTAGATTCTAATAAGTTATAGATTCAACACGACAGAGACGAGCCAGGAATAAAATTACAGGTCTGCTAGATTCTGCTGGGAATCTAGTGGAGGACAAGGAAGGGCTAGTGGCCATCGCAACTAGTTACTTCAGAGAATTATTTGAATCCTCCAATCCTGAGCTCATTGATGAGGCCTTAGCAAATGTGAATTCAACGATCACTGACCAACTGAATGAAAGCCTTACAGCTCCAGTTTCAGAGTGGGAGGTAAAGCTTGCCCTTTTTGCAATGCATCCAGAAAAGGCACCAGGACCAGATGGATTAACAGCTTTGTTCTATCAAAAATTTTGGGACATTGTCAAGGCAGATTTAACTCGTATGCTTAATGAATTCATTTTCGATGGAATTATGGCGGAAGGTCTTAATGATGCAAATATTTGCCCAATCCCAAAGAAAGAAAAGCCAAATGAAATGTCTCAATTTCAGCCTATTAGTCTCTGTAATGTCAGCTACAAAATTATATCTAAGGTCTTATGCTAAAGACTAAAAAAACTTCTGCCTGATTGTATATCTAAGACGCAGCCAGCCTTTGTTGCAGGACGACATATAACTGATAATGTACTGATAGCACAAAAAATGTTTCATGCTTTGCGGACAAATCCACGGGGGGAAAATAGGAGAATGGCAATCAAGACAGACATGAGCAAAGCATATGATCGATTAGAATGGGAATTCATAAGTTTTGTTATGAAGAAAATGGGCTTTTCTGATCTATGGACTGAGTGGATAATGCAATGTGTAATATCTGTAAAGTACCATGTTCTGTTCAATGGTCAACCGAGAGGAAATATAGTTCCCCACAGGTGACTACGTCAGGGAGATCCTTTGTCTCCACAGGTGACTACGTCAGGGAGATCCTTTGTCTCCTTTCATCTTTATCTTATGCACGGAAGCGCTCGTTAGCCTTCTAAATCATGCAGAGTCTCAAGGGAAGATAACAGGGATGCGTGTTTCACGCGCTAGCCCCCCGGTATCACCCCTTCTCTTTGCTAATGATAGCATGTTCTTTTATAAGGCGGAGCCCCGAGAATGTGATGAAGTAATGAAAGTAATTAAGACATATGAGAGAGCTTCAGGGAAGCGAATTAACTTTGAGAAATTAGCCTTACTCTTTGGGAAAAAGGTACTGGTTCCGGTAATGAATGCGAGAAAAGCCACAACACGGATAACAAATTAGGGCGGGATGGGATCTTATCTTGGAATCCCAAAGGACATAAGTGGATCAAAAAGGAAACCTTTTTTGCTTTCCTGAAGGAAAAGTTGCAAAATCGTCTTAACGGATGGACTGAGAGATACTTATCACGTGGAGGGGAGGAGGTTTTAATTAAGTCTATCATGTTGGCGCTGCCAACCTATTATATGTCAACACTCCTACTACTTTTAGAGACATGCGAAAAATTAGCTAGTGCCATTGCACAGTTCTGGTGGAGTTCAAAACCTCCGAAAATAGGTATTCATTGGAATGTATGGGAAGAGCTCTGTAAACCAAGGGAAGAAGGTGGGATAGGTTTCAGAATGATCCACGAGTTCAATCTTGCATTACTAGGGAAGCAAATTTGGAGTGTTCAGTTTCCTGACTCCTTATTATCAAGAGTATTGTGAGGAAAGTACTTCAGATTTAGCTCGCCTTTGCGACGACATAAGACTGATAATCCCTCATACGAGTAGTATAATGGCAGCAAAACCACTAATAACATTAGGTATTAGACAAAAGGTCCATTTGAGGAATGAGATCAGTGTCTGGGAAGACCTATGGATCCCAACGATACCTGCACGCCCAGCTAGACCGATAGCCCCTGGGGGTTCATCCGATGTTTCCAGTGAGCCACTTCATGAGTGGCAATCCAAAGCAACAGAACTTGGAACTACTTGAA